ACTGAGACTGTGCCCAGTTTGCTCAAATCTCATTGCAGGTGCAGAAGTACATCCATGATTTCAATTAACCATGGAGCGGAAGCCTATGTATAATACACAGAAGTAAGAAGTAAGTCTGGTGGAGCTTACAGTATTCTCCAGTCAATGACCACAGGCTTTCCTCTGACGGATCAAACAACTAGAGCTTCACCTTCTTCTCCGTCCTGCAGCCCCTTGCACACCCTCAAAACCTGGTCCCAGAGGGTTGAGGGGCTCTCTGCATCAGATCTGGTGGCCCGAGAGGGGAAGAGGACAGTGATGTCTCATTTAGCAAGTGAAATTCCATCCACATAACATTGGATTCCAGCCAATGCCTACAGTCCACAACCTATTTTCCCCAAGAAAAGTTGTGCTGTTTGATGTGCAGCCCCTCCCAGATAACTTTATGTAAATGGGGCACCATGTGGGTGTTGTTAAATAAATAAATATTGCCTTTAGTGGAAACACTCAAAGGCAGCACATAGTTTTAAATTGCATTGATTTAGTGGAAGAGATTTAAAAGAATATGCTTTTTACTATTCCATTACAGCCAGCAAGACTTAAAAGAACTTTGATGGGATCCATCACCAACAACTATATTATGACATGCTTTTCCATAGACAAAAGCCTGAGTCAGATGCATACAGCTTGGCAACAAGTTGTCTTCGGATGCTTATGACACGAATAAAGTTGATAGCCATTTAAGGTGATAAGAGTTGTTAACTTCTCACAGCTTAAGGCAGGGGTTGGGGACCTGCAGCCCTACAGATGTTGCTGGACCACAACTCCAGTCATTTTGGATCTCTGGCCATGTTGGCTGGAACTAACTGGAGTTGGAGCCGTAACAACAGGTTCTGCATTGCTGTCTGAAGACTGAAGGCCCAAACAGACTGGCAAGGGAGAGCAGTGATGGTACTACAGATAGTTCTGCTTTTAAGCAGTGATGCTGGGGTTGGGAAGATCAACCCTTTCCCCAAACCTGTTCCTGTCTCCAAGCTGCTCTTAATCCGGGTTTCCTCCTGGGGGGCAGAATATAGGTATGAAACAAATTATGGGAAGGATTGGGAAAGTACAAAAGAAACGTCTGCCTGCCAGAATTTAAAAAGTGTGGGGCTTGAAACACGCCCCCCAGCAGAGTTTAAAAATACAAATCTATGCAGTATTTGTGAAGTGTGGAAAATAAAGGTTATTAGACCTTTGAATATCCAGTTTCAGGCACTCATATTGTGCTCCCCCGTCTCTACGCCTCTGGCAGTGAATAGACCACACTGTGAAGTAAGTTTAGTTGCTTTACTTATGTCAACCAAGGTCTCAGTCATGCATCATTCAATTTTACAGCAAAACCAATACATTCTTGCATTCTTGAGTACAAAATTCAGAAAAAGTTTATTTAAATGTGGATTCCAGGCTTGGAGTGCCAGTCTCACACATGTAATTGGCTACAAGGTTTGAAGAGAAGAGAGTGAGGAAATAAACCTTTACTTCTTCCCTTACCAGAGGTGAGGGGGCGTGACTTAACTGAGCCTTCCCTACCAATTTCATTTCTGAGTCTGCCTTTGAGCAAATATAGCTCTGTGGTCCTAACCCCTTTCATACATTAGCTAACATTGTGCATGGTAGTTATGTTTTGACTGTAAAATCTCCCACCACAAGTACCTCTATTTTTCCCTCAGGTTGGATTAACAGTAGCTTGGGGAGCAATTTAGATAGGGGGGAAACCTTCCCAGCACTGTGGGTCCAAAATGGGAGCTCTTAAGCATGCTTTAAAGTTACTGTTGTTGTGCCATAGCCACACCATACATCAAAAGCACATTCAACACATATTCAAGGCACATGACTTCCCCTCAAAGAATCAAGGGAAGTGTAGCTTGTTACAGGTGCTGGTTATTGTAGCCCTGTGTCATTCCTGTTTTGGCATTCAAACTGTTAGTCTTAATGCTTACCATGTGGAGCACATAACCAGTGGAAAGCCATCTAACTCAGAAACACTAGTACAGTAATTAAAATGGTTCATCTAACAGACCGATAGGATTGCTAGGGTCTCCAACAGCACAGTCTTTCACATAAAGAGTATTAACTTATTTCAGTGGGATTTGTTTCTTTAGAAAATGTGTATATGATTGCTCACAATCTTCTACACTTGGCTGTCTTATAAAATCTGGGCTCAACTAGCTTAATCTAGCAGAAGCAACTTGTACAGATGATAGTTTCTGAAGACATGTTCCTATTTGTAAACATCAGTAGATGTTCTTTTTTTTAAAAACCAACAGCAGCAACACTATCATTTGCAGGCAAATTATTGCACTGGAACATGAGTTAAAATATTTTGCACAGACGTGCAGGCAACTAAATGAAAAATGCTGGTCTGCTTATCCCCAGAATCTCACATTACTCATGTCTTCCTTTAATGAGTATTTAAGCATTTCCTTAATGCCAATTGCCTTGTTTCTGTCCTGCTATTAACTGAAACTAAAAAAAAAAGCATTTTTCCCCCTGAAGAAGGATTGAAATTTAGAACAAGACAACAAATTGGCATTGTGTTTTCAATGACGGTACCTGGCTGCATCAAGATTTCAGTGTGGAAGTCCAGTAGGCATCATAGAAGCTATTCTAGTAACATTAACAGTTGCTGCAATCTGGCTAACTCCATACCAATTTTTATAACCTAGTCAGCCAGTGAGCGGAACACAAGTGAAGCAGAGAAAAGGCAGAAAGAAGAGAGTGGGATAGATAAGGGAGGGCAAAGTTTCTGGGACATGACAAAGGCTGTGTACAACACTCCCATTTCCTTTGCATTGAGTGCATTCCCACCACGGTTTGGGGGAGCAGTGTAAGCGACATTAAGCCACAATCCATACCTATCCTGTACTATCCTGGCATTTCTCAGGAAATACTGCATTCTGATGTTTTTCCTAAAACGCAGCTTTGAATTGAGAAACAAAATGACTTGGATGCATTTTAAGTTGGGAATGTGCTGACAGCCTAAGGCCTCCCCCC